GATTCTGTAAAAAAATAGACCAGGTGGGGTGTGGAGTCCAGGTATCAGTGGAGACCCCTGCCATAGGGGGCTCTGGTGTCAGACAGAAGACTCTCCCTTGCCCCACTCCAAAGCTGTTGCGCCCCAACTAGCTTAAGCCACGTTGGCCAGGATGGAGACAAGAAGCCTCGTCTTAGAAGCTTCTCCCCGCGCTCCCTGCGACCAGGGAAGGACCGGAGCATCTTGGCAGAGCAACCCATCCTGGTTCCTGCAGCAGACAAGCAGGCAGGCAGGCAGGCAATGCTGCTGTTAGAAAGTGTGAGAGACTCCCCAGTGAAACCCCACAAGCGTAGCAGATGTACAGACTAAACCCAGTCCGTACTCTTGAGATGAGGAGAAGCAATCCGCAGCTTCCGCTCTAAACTACGTTTAGAGTACCGTACGGGTTCCCACGATTGGCTCCCACACTGGGCACAAGCAAGCCGCCTCCAGGGACCAGAACTGTTCCAGTGTTCCTTCCAGCAGCACTAACATCCAACTTCGGAAGCGGCGGTGATCTGAAAGTATTATGTTGTAGGCAATTAACATTTTATAAAGATATAAGCCACCACACGTGACTTATAAGATAAACCAGAATGAATTTTAAATAAGAACAAAATCAACACTAAAAAAACCACAAAACCTAAATGGAATGGCAGAAAATTAGAAAATTGACCATCTGCATGTAATACCAGCGTTATTTATAACTTTCCAAACATCTGGCTTCTCTCCAAAGAAAATCCCAGCTATGTAAGAGCTCATCACCAGAGGTGGCTTACAAGCAGCTGATCCAAACTCCTCTGCCCATAGACTGCGGAAGGACGGATCTTCAAGAGCGACATTTCAGACCCAGAACTAAAAGGCGTGTTGTTGCTTACACCGGAGCCACTGAAAACCGCCCTGCTTGGTGGACCAGAACCAGGTGGACAAGCAGGAATTAAGCCAGGGCGGGATCCAGCTAAGGTCGTCCAAGGGACCAGCTGGCATTCTTAAAACAGGGCTGCTGTCTAGAAGAGCTCAGACCCAAATGAGTCCACCCCCTCCATGCAGAAAGAGAAAGGCGACGAGAGAAATAAGGCAAATGGGTGATGGGGGCCATAACCATGTATTCGGGGACTATGGTAAAATAGACCTTGGCATGAAAAGGTGGTCCTTTGCCAATGGAGAGGAGCATTTTCATGTGCTTAGCAGGGATAGCTGCCCCCCTGGTACCATCAGTGTCAGAAACTGTGCCTTGGACATTTTTCTGGGTTGCCATAAATCAAGGTGCATTCAGCCCCCATGTCTACTAGAGCTAAAACCTGTTGCTTGTTTTTGGGGGACCAATGCAGGGTGACAGTAACTTATGGTCTGTGGTCACCATGTGTGAGAACCATCACACAGACCTGCCTGTCAAAAGATGGGCTGTGGGGGCTGCCAAGACCAGGTGGGGAAAGGGGCGGAGGACTTGTCAGAGGCTCGGTGGGGGGGCAGGGGGCAGACGGCACAAGCAATTGTCCTCCCCCGTCTCCATCTTTGTTTTCCACCACTGGCCCTTTTTCGTATTACTTGTTTTTAGCAGTGCCTTCCACGGTTTCAAGAGGACGGTGTTGGGTTGCCCATTGAGGTCATTGATGGCAACGCCTGCTTTTATGAGGTTGGTCCACATTTGGTGGTGCATGACTTGATGGCTCCCAAGGAGCCATGTTCCGCCTTCGTCGTCTGCCTTGCCTCTTTGCATTCTTCTACTTGTGCCAGATAGTTGAGGAGGATGCCCACATCCCAAATGCGCTGTCCCACAGCTGACCCTAGAATGCTCAGGAGGGGCCTTTCCACTGGGGGGGCAGTTTTGAGCAGCTTGGTGCACATGCCTGCAGTGAAGTTCTCCATTTCTGGACCCTGGAAAATGGTGCATCATGTTGCTGGGCTTCTACGATGGTGTGCCACGGGCCCATGTGCTGGTCCATTTCGCTCTGGGTGGGCCAAACCTTGCAGATGGCATGGATGACCCAATCCAGGAGCGAGCTCTCTCAACTCCCATTGCCCCATGCAGTACCTGTCAAATGGAGGGGTCGCTAGTCACACTGTTCATTTGATGACTTCATAGTCATAAAGACTAATGGAGTCAGCTCCCTCTTCCCACAAGTGGACTAGCCATGTCAGGAGGGGTTTGCGCTCCTGCTGCTGGTAGCACTTTGACAGGTTGATTAGCTGTGTGTTGGAGTAATCATGTGGCATCACAGTTTCTACCAGCTGCAGTGCAGGACCTACAGGGCACCATCATCTCCCTGCCCGATCAACCTTCTCTTCAACTTGGATTCCACAAGCTGTCGTGCTCAGGAGCTTCTTCCTCCTCCGTTTCCTCCTCTTCTATGACTACCTCATCCTCACTTCCCTCAGTCTCCTCGGGATCCCACTTGGCTGGGTCCCAGTTGGCGTGGGTGACGATGGTGCTAACTTGCAGGCGGGAAAGCTTCCTGCTGTGTCTTTTAGCATGTCACACCGCCAACTGGGCTGCCTCGCTCTCCTCCTCCTCTATCTTTTGGGAAGTGTTCCTCAGTGCCTCACAAGCAGTGGTATGTAGATGCCTCTCCTGGGCTATTTCTGCATGAAGATGGGCTACCTCCCGCTCTCCCTCAGATCCCTCCCCTCAGTTTCTTGTGAGAGTTAGCAGAGGCCATCCTATTAACACAACCCCCTTCCTCCCTGTACACAAGAGGCTGCCCAGATTCAGCTGGGTCAGTGGCTCTCCCAGTCCAGCTGGAGAGGCCTCCAACTCTGGACATTCTCACAGGGGTCCACCACCAGGCAATGAGCCATGCTACAGGCAACCACACTCCTGTAGATGACCACCCAGGTGCTTGTCCCTGGGCATACTTTTCCTCCTTTTTCACTGGGTTCATCGCTCTGTTGGTATCCTGCCGACTACGCCAATTATTGCTGTTAATCTGAGCATCGATGATTAATTTAGAATTTGCAGGGCAGATACCAAAGAAGAACACTAAGGGAGACACCAGGATGATGATAAATCTTGAAAAAGGTTTTATCAAGAATTGCCCCTGAATGTACTTACAGCATCAGAAGGATATGATTTCAAACAGCTGGGTGAGCCCAAATGGTAGTGAAGATTTCCAGAACCCAACTCATGAGGAAGCTGGGAAAAAGGGGTAAATCTTACAGCCCTTTTCCCCACTCCCCGCCCTTTGGAATCCTCATGTCGATTCTAGGATATTAGCAAGGGGGAAATTAATGTATTTACATTCATTGGAGAGGAAGAGATTACAAGAGAGTAAGCGGGCACACAACGGGGAATACACATTGAAAGAAATGCCTTAGTGCCAGCTGTTTGTGTAACATGCTGGCGAGTTGGGAGTTACTCAGGAGGCAGAAGAAAGCCTTTAGGGTGAAACTGATTAGGGTCTTTGGTGCTAATTGACTTGTGGTTAGCACCTTTTAGGGGAGCACTGGGCTGGGGAGGAAAGCAGTTTGGGAAGAGATAGCTTGTTTAAGCAATCTCTGCACCCTGCGAGGGGGAAAATCCTTTGACTGGGGAAGAAGAAAGTGGATCAGACGATCAAGCACAGGACAGTCATGGAGGAAAATTACTGGGAGGTGCTGGGTGGAGGGAGGGGTCCCACTTCCCAGCAGGGGAGGGGTGCTCCTCCAGTACAAACAGAGGGAAATCACTCTTTCCTAGGGAGAAAATGTCCGGATGACAGTCCTGTCTGGCCTTATGGGCATAAGCTGCACTGGGGACCCCAGAGCCTCGTTTAATCAAATGATTACTAGAGTTGGCAAAAAAAGGCAAGACACGGGTTTACAAAAATTCACCATTTATTAACCCTTGCAGGGTCAGGAGCACATCTCAATACAGCCACGAGAAGCTGCAGCTCAGTGCCAGCAGAATTTTCCGCCTCAACAAGAGTGAGATCTTCCCGGACTGAAGCCAAAAGCTCTCTTTTGGGGGGGGGGAAAAGCAAATTCCCACGGAAGATACCAAGAAACTCACGGCAGAAGAGGGTGGAAATGCACCAGGAACAACATTTCACAAAATAAAAGAAATCCAAGATGCCATGAGGAAGAAGGCCCTCTAAGGATTCCTGACAGCAAACAGGATCCCTCTTCCCTGCCCCAGTTTAAATCCTCTGCCCAGTTCAGAGGCACCCAGTGGGACAAAGAGGCAAGAACATCACTTGCACCTCTAGGAGAAACTGGAATCCTTTTCTATTCATAATATTTTTCTAAAAAATCCCTACAAAAGGGAAAGAGACTCGCTTGTTTTTCGGCTGCTCACAAAAAGAGTGATTTATTCAAAAGGTTGCCATGGGGGAGAGAGGGGAGGGCGCTTGCTGAGGCGCAATGCTCAGTTCACCTGCAGGCACCTTCAAGGGAGCAGGTTGGGGCAGCAGATGCATGCAGAGGCCCGCCAGGAGGGGGCAGCAGATTCACCTGGAGCTCCACTGGAGCGAATGCATCACAGAGTAACGTCTGCAAGGCCTGGAGAAAGACAGGGAGAAAAACAGGCGGCTTCAAACTTTTTCAAGCAGAAGAATCTGGTAGTTAAAAAAATGTTTCTGAAAACCCCTGATCAAGAGGCAAAGCTCTAGTGACAGAAAACGGTCTGTGTCCGAGTGAACTTTTTTCGCCCTCAGTCTCTCTTGGAAGCCCATCAAACTCTCACAGGACCCTCAGGTTCCTCCCAAGACAGTCTGAAAAACCCTGAGCTGGGCCAAGGACACAAGCGGGCCAGTCAACGGCCTCCAGGCAAGGCAACAAGCTGTGCCTGCCAGCATGGACCATAGCTTGCTCCTGGCACAAACAGCAGATTAAAGAGGACCCAAACTTCACGGGAAAAGGCAACGGAAGGCATCCTCTTCCAGATGCAGCTTTTCAGGGAAGCAGTGCGCAAACACGTGCTGTACGCCAGGCATCGGAAAAACAGATGAGATTGTATAACCGAGAGTCATAGCTAGATCTGAAGTTCCAAGCCAACGTGGCAGCTCGTGAATAAAGTGGACATCCGAGCACATTTCTCAGCTGTTCAAACATCATCAGAATGACCTGGACACTGGTGGAAATCCTTTAATCTTCCCACAGTAAGTCCAGGGGTGTTGAAACTCCCTCTGCATTTGGATCCTCAGGCATGGCTGGAAGACTTCTCAACACAGTCTTGGAAGGACTGCAGAGTTCAGTGACCACATCCATTTTTTCTGTTCCTCCCCAAAGAGGTCACAGCAGCTTCAGTTCATTTTAAATACTATGTGACTGGGATCTTTGAGCTTTTAACCCAGCTAAACTGTTTTGGCTTAATGTATTTAAGAACCCAGAAAAAGAAACCCCAATGGTATAAAGTATGAACTGGTGTGATCTGAACCTGAAAGAGACCAACTGCCAACAACGAGCAATCAGAAGAGGACACACCTTCCCAATCTAGTAATTCCACCTTGTTTCTTGCACCAAAAAAACCCACCACGGGAAGCGCCCATCAAATGGGCTCCTACACGGCCATGAGGATATCATGACAAAATGCTCATGATATGTTACATTCAATGAAAACCCTGGCTGCTATATCAATTTATATGTGTATGCTAATTTGCATAAATTGATAAAGAGGGATCATACCTCCACCCCTCTTTAGACTCATTTTTGCCTCCAGCACCGTCAATAAACCAAACTGAGCTTCAGTGTAATATGTCCTACTCTCCAGTTCAAATGTACCCCTACAAATTCTACTAAAAGGCCACCTTGGCATGACCACACAGGAGCAGTCAAGCCAACGATGCAGCTGCCCTGGGACCGGCCCACCTTTCAGCTGCTCATCTCTCTGCCACACAACTGTTCCAGCTGAAAGCCAAGAACCTGAATGAAACACCAGATGGCCTAATCAGTGTAAGACTTAGCAGAGATCATGGCAGATATATGCCTCTGCTAGGAAGCGCTGAGCTTCCCATCCAGAAGTTCTGGCAGTATTCCCCACTTCTTACCTAAATGGATCAAAAAAGAAATGGCTGTCTTTTCTGCACCCCTTCATTAGGCACAAACAGGCCAAGTTGCCAGTTCCTTCTATGCAACTGCACCAATCACCTGCCATGGCAGGTCTACTCACAGGACAACCTATTCACAGGCCACGGTTCCCTGCAGCCATCCACTCAACTAGTTCTCCCCGCCAATCCCAAGCCCCCTCCCTCTTCCGACCGAATCCAACAGATGCATCACATTGCCCTATTTTTCCTGGTCCTGTGGAAAAAGAGCTCTTGTGGCATGAAGGTGTGGACCATGGAGACCCCCATTGGCTGAACTGTTCAGCCCAACTAATCACACAGGATTATGACTTTAGAAAAATTCTGAAGAAAGTGCCACGTACTCCACCTTGAGCTCCTGGAGGAAAGTTATAATCTCACACACACATGGGTGTTGGTCACCTCCACTGCAGAAGTCTTTGAAGAATCAGAGAGAACTCTCTTTTGCTGACTGAGTGGAGGAGAATGACAGAGAACTGGCTGATCCCATTTTTTCCCAACTGGGCGTTCAGCTGCACTTTGAGTATTAGATAAAGTATAAGTTTAAGAGGTGGCTTGTAGAAAGTTTGAAATATTGCTGCGGTCACTGTTGCACCGCACACATTTGGCACCGGTAAAACTGAAGCACCACAAATAGAATGGTGCTTTCATAAAGAACGAGAGAGAGACTGGGAGGGAAAACAGACAATGGGGCCGGCGCATTCTCCCCAGGGCCACTGGTCAGGAGAGGTTCAAGATCTCACAGACAGCCTTCCGAGCTCGGAAGCAAGAGACAAGGCAGAGGACTGTACCTAAGTTCTGGGAATCCTTGATAGCCCAGCACAGGCAGTAATGTTGCATGAGCTGCTCAAATGGCTCCTTCTCGTCCAGGAACTCAAGTGCCTCTATCCTGGAAGGAGGGAAGGAAGAATACAGGACAGACTGTAGCGGACACAAGCTGCACACAGAGAGAAAGGGACAAGAGGGATGGCCTAGAGCCAGGTTCACATGTTTACTTAGACCCAAAGCTCACGGGGCAGCTTTGAGCCAGGCACCCTTCCACACATCAGCCGAACACAACACCCAACTATGGAGGGAGCCAGAAGTTTCAGAACTTCTATGGTGGCCAGTCCAAGGAGCCCAACTGGTGGTGCCTCTGAACTGTTACATTGTGATCTATGAGTTGGAGAGCCATATCAATCGATCAAATACATAAATAAATAAACAACAAACAGAAAGTCTTGAAATTTGGTTTCCACCCAAAACCTATTCTAAAGTTTTATACCATTTTACTCCACCAAACACAGATTTTGAACCACAACCCAGAGTGGATAACTGACATGCCCTCTGTGGGAAACTACAGAATACCATAAAACCAACATAGCCAAAGTTTTGCTCAATGAAGCCCAGCCTGTGCCCCCAGTTAGGATATTTGAAATTGGGGTTCAAAGGAAGCACCTAACACAAAGTCCCCAACATTGCTGTATTTATCAAATCCCTGTGTCAAAGTTTTATACTGGTTTTGTTCATTTTTGTTCCAGCATTTTCAGGTTTCATTCCCTCCCCAAAGTGGGTAGCTGACATGACCTGAGTATTACGCTACAGAGCACCCCAAAATCAATATGGCCCTATTGACCATTTTCATTCAGCATTTTAAAACATTAAGCAGGCACGTTACTCAAAATAGGTTTTCAACTATAAAAAGCTCGCTATAAAAAACTGGCATGTGATCAGGCTCAAATTGATTAAAAAAATGTGTTTCTTATCAGCTTTTGACTGATTTAGTCAAAATACATATAAACTCAATCTACTGATAAAGAAGTAATGTAGTTCAGTTTATAAATCTACAGTTACTCTCTTCCCGTGCTATATTTAGATAGGCACAAACCAACTTCTCAGATGCTCACCTTTTTAAAGCATTGTACTACTACTGTGGGGCCATAAAACTGTTCCAGCAGAGTCAGCAGCAACTTCTTAAAAACATGCTTTTACATTTCTGTGTTTTTAATTCCACAAGGTTATTCGTTTTGAGGATGACAGAGACTGCCAAATCCCAGGATCATTCCATGAGCTTCAGCTAAGTCTCTTAGTTATGCTGAGACCAAGAAAAAGCCATGGTAACATGGGACAGTCGTGGAACTGAAAACCTAGCAAAGCCTTTTAAAAATCTATCAGTGCAATTTTCTGATCTGAGCCTATATGGAGTAAACCAAACATAGCTTTATGAACTTTTATGACAACGTTGAACCATTGCTCCAATACTAGTAACAATGATAAAACCTTAAATGTGAATGCATTTATGTCATTTGTGAAATAGTTTGCATCATGGTATTATCACACAAAGAACATAAATTAGTAGTCCCCAGTTTAAGAACAAGTTCCATTCCCAAGCTCTGTCCTTAAGTCAAATTTGTATGTAAGCTAGAACAGTATTATAATACTGTATAAGTATAATACTGTATAATACTGTATAAGTAGCATTGTGTAATGAACTCAAACCATTGTGTATTTAACTCAAATTTTGTTACAATAGGCTCGGTTCTTAACTATGGGTCGTCCTTAAACCCAGGGACTACCTGTAATTATGTACTTCTGTTCTATTTAACAGACGTTTGTGAATAGCAGACATCTCTGCCTCCAAATTATCCTGTTAAAACAAGGTTTCACTGTACCCCATTTCTACACCAATGGGCCAATATTTAATTATTCTCTAATAACATAATTGCTTCCCAATATATCAGATACACAACCAAGAGGGACTAAGAGTTAAATTTCTCTGAACAGAGCAACTGCTGTCTTCCTCCCTGGTAATAAGACTAAAATTTATTCCCAGATCATGAAGTATTCATTTTTCCAACATTTCTATTATATATGCATCAGTAAGAAGCATTAGTGTTAAGTACAACGTGAATTTAGTTATATCCTGTCCATTATCATCCTCTCCTCAAAACCTGCTTTACTACTCACTCACTTTTCAATATTCTTATCTAAGAAACCCATCCAATGTTTGCAGTCCGTTAAAAAAACACACGAGTTCTGGATTCTGTGAGTGTCAGTTACCCACTTTTAGAGGAGGAAGAGATAGAAAACCTGGGCTTGACGGAACCAACCACAAAAAACTTTGGCAAAGGTTTTGGTTGTGGATGTGCAAACTCACCAATTCAGGAACAGAACGTTCCGGTGAACTCTGGAATGTTCCGTTCCCCCTCCAGACCATGTCGTTCCGGGGGCAGTTTCCTGAAGTTATCAGTGAGTTCTGCACATTCCTAGTTTGGGGTGAATATAACAATGTTGAGTTTTTAGATGTTTCCTCCGAATCCTGATCTGACATTTCTGTACCTCTTATTACTAGGATGCCCGACTTACTGGGACAAAAAGGATAAAACCAGGACTACGCTTTGGTGCCAGCTGGGGCCAACAGGGCCATATTGATTCTCGGGTGGTCTGCAGCCTTTGTACTCACTTTTAGGTGGGTGCAAAACCTTGGCTTGCTGGAGCAAAATGCTACAAAACCAGAGAGTATTTCAGGATTAATTTCCACTCCATAACTCTTTACTTCCTAGGATAATTCAGGATTCAGCCTTTCCTGCTTTTTAACATCTACATGGATCCACTGAGATGCATCATCCAATGTCGGGCCAAAGAATCATCACCATTCGGAAGAATTGGACCTGCATTCTGGAGAGACCCCTTCACCCATTTGTTCTCTGGGGAGACCAAGCTGAGCTCAAGAAGCAGAAATGGCTTCTGCTCACTCAGCCTGGTGCACCAACCAACCTCACCCGGAGAAAGCACACAGGGCCTCTATTACACACGCATGGGTTAAACCCAGACTACATTATTCTTGTGTTCTAGGCCTGGCAGTTTTAGGAAGGGGGGGCACTAAGCAACTTAAAAATACATCACTGTAGCATCAGGTGCATTGTTACCCATTTACTTCCAAATTCAATTTTAAATGCCAGCACCTGCTCTGGAACGAGGCTAATTCAAGTACTGCAATCCCTCATTCAAGTCAGCTTGGGCCTTCAGATAAGCATCAGGTGCCTTACTCTGTGGCCTGTCCTTTAGTACGGTCAGGCTGGGAGGACTTAAGGTCAGAGCACGTCCACTAAGCATGGGACTGATTCACTGCTATCTTCCATCTGTTTCTATTGTAAACAACCATGTGAGGGGTCACCCTGAAATGCAAGGTAAAAATACTCTATATACATACATATGTATATGTATATGTATATATACATACATACATGCTATATATTATAGTATCTGTGAAACTGTATCATCATCATCGTCGTCTTTGTCATCATCATCACCCTGACTCAAACCACTGCAAGAGGAAGGCCTTTTCACTGAAGGTTATGCCCAATGATCTACCGTGCTGACTCAGTGCAGGTGAGCAGATATGCATTTTTTTTATTTTCCAACCTAGGGCTGAGAGATACTAGATAACAACAGGCCATCTGCCCTAACCATTAGTCACCTAGCTGCCCCCCCACTACAATCATGGCAGAACTGAGCAAGTTAGCATTTACAATACAGGTTAATTAATTGCGAGGTTCTGACAGAGGGACTGGCCCAGAGTCCCCCAGGGAACTTCCATGGCTGAGGAGGCACTAGGCCTCCCTCTTCCTAGTCCAGCACCTTCACCACTACCTCACCCATTACCTAATACTCCTGCCTCCTATTTTCCCCACAACAACCCTGTGAGGTGGGTTGGGCTGAGAGAGTGACCAGCCCAAAGCCACCCAGCCAGCTCCTGTGCCTAAGGCAGACCTAGAACTTACAGTCTCTCGGTTTCTCGGGCAGCACCTTAACCGCTACACCAAACTGGCTCTCATATACTTTACATGAACATATACACAAACGTACACATGCACACACATTCTCTTTCTCTCTCTCAATAAAACAAGCAAGTGACCAAATTGATATGAGCGAAGAGGAGCTTACCTTTTGATATCATCCGGTGGCAAACTCTGATAGACCTTCAGCATATCGAGGGCATTTACCGTTTCCCAGCCATGTATCAGGAATCGTTCCTTCTGTGAATAAAATGCAGTAGAAGAATCTGTTAAAGGCAGGTTCTCCAGGACTCAAAAGGAAGATAAACCACTCAAAATGTTACACACCATTCAGCTTAATGTCTGAACTGGGCAAGTTGCTAGAGCAGACTGTCAAGCAGTGTGTCTGAAAGCTCCTAGGAAAGGATGTTGTCATACCAGGAGTTAACAGACTGAAGGATCTGGGAAGGGTTAGCCTTGAAAATTCCCGGGGGGAATATGATAGCCCTCTTTAAATATCTGAAAGGATATCACAAAGAAAACAATCAAGACCTGTTCTCTATCTTTCCAGAAGGCAGGACATCCAATAATGGATGAGAATTCTAAGAAAGCAGAACATCGTGAAAAATCTTCTAATGAAAAGAAGAGCTCAACGGGGGAGTCCCATTTAAGGAAGCGCTGAACTGCCGCCTCTCAGAGACACTCTCAGCTTAGATTCCTGCCCTCTGCAGGGGCTTAGACTCGGCGGCCTAAACGCTCCTGTCCAACTCTACAGTTCTAAGGACAAAAATGGCGCGCCACGAGGGCACTCGGTTGGATTTTATATGACGTCCCTTTTCTCCCCCCAGGTCAGCACGAGCAATTCCCTGCTGTTTAGCACAGCTGCTCTCCAAAACAAGGCCTGCTATGGGATGGAACATTAAGAGCAGGGCAAAGATGTGACCTGGAATGATTATGCCTGAATGCAGGCGCTGTAGCCTGGGCAAAGCTTATTGGGGGCTCACCAATCTGAGTCCCATCGTCCAGAAAATCTGACCTGGGTATCCAGAGATCTGCAGGCATCTGCACCAACCAACTCGCACTGCTTGCTCTGCAAGTTCTCAATCATGATCTGTCCAAAGCGGTCAGCCATATTCACCTGGAAAGGACACACAAAGGAGCCTGCCATCTTTCCATTCAGCGCATGTGTGCAAAGGAGCATCCAGGAGACTGTGCCCACTCCAGAGACTGTGCCCACTCCAGAGGTTTGGAAGAGGGGCTTTGGGACTCACTTCTCTGAAATCCATTAGGGCAGCCCAAGCTTTTTCGGGGTTCAGCATGAGCCCAAAAAAAGCCATTACAGAGTTGACTCATTAAATTTAAGACAGCACTTAAAAGGAGCAGCATTGTTTTTCAGGTTCACATGGAACCCTGGAACATCTGGCTGCTTTAGCAAGTAGTAGAAAGATGCTGTCATCGCCCAATGTTCAAAGCGTGCACAATCCTGCTGCACACACACCTTTTATCTTTGCCCAGAAACTTCCTCTCATTCTTAGATGCATTCCGAGAAACCAGATTCTCACAACTCCTAGCTGAAAGCAACAAACGCACTGTGCACAATGATAGCAGGCATCAAATTAATAGCTTTGGGCTGTTCTTTTAGACTTGTGACTTAAGCAAGCAGCAATATCCAGTGAGGGCTTATGCACCAGAGCTTCCAGCTAGGAGGAATGTCCTGAAAGCTTAGCTCTGCTCAGGCCTCAAAAAATGCAAACAAATGGCAGGATCTGGTTTCCTTTTTATGGGACTGAAAAAGATAATTTCTTCCCGCCCCAAAATACACAGCAGTGGGATCCCAATACTTGGAGGAAATCACTGTTCTAAGTACTACATGGCACTGTACAACTGCTAGGTATTATATAGATTTAAAAAATATAAAAATAATAATAATAGTAATAGTAATGCTCCCAGAGCAACTGAGTGTGACCCAAGTGATTGTCACCCCATGCCGATTTGCAAAGGGGTCAGCCTTTGCACTGAAGGCTGAACTGCACTGAAAATTGGAAACGTTTCCTATGTTGAAAGCCAGCAATCTGATGAGAAAAGGGTTTGTCACGCTTGGATCCCTGGGAACTTATCCCAGTGTTTTTATTCCCAGCTTCAACTGGATTCATATCCAAAACTGGAGTATCAAATCTGTCTCCTGCATTTTCCTTCGGTGAGCAGTTTCTCCTTTTTGTAAGGATACAGCTTGCGCCACCATTCAAATGCCACCAAGATAAGACTCAGTGGATTGATATTTCATAAAAAGTAAGTCTAACACTATTTCTTTGAGTTCAGCCACCCCTGACTCAGCAGCTCTTCTCCTCAGTAAAGAATAATTAACCCCACTTGAGAAGATCTCTGCTCTTGTACTGTAGGGAGCAATGCAAAAAAGCAAAACCAACATCCAAACACAGACAAGAATAATTTCCTGCTGGGGGAGCTGCTTTGTAACCTCACCAACCCTAACCCCGAAGTAGCCATACGCTGAAGGGCCGGGCATTCTTCTCCCTTGGCCCATGACCTATTTTGCATCCAGGCTGGACGCTGAGATGGGCAGCGGAGGAGCCTCGGCTTACCTGCTCATAGTTGATAAACATGGCAGATCGGAACATGCCTCCCACCCACTTGATGAGGCAGGTCGAATGCTCTGTGGTCATGTAGATCAGCACACATTCCGTCATCAGGAGGGTTGGCAAGCTTTTAAAGAGGAAAAGAAATAAGGGCAAGGGGGAAAGACAATTCAGGGTTTTTTTCCATCTTCAATTCTGGGTACTAGAAGAAGTCCAGAAAAGATTGTTTTGTGTGTACAGAAATGCCCTTTACACAACATTAATTTAATTTATTTGATTTAGACACCACCTGACTCTGGGCAGTATGCAATAAAACCAACAACATAAAAGCAGAATAAGATAAATGTAAAAGAATAAAAGAGTAAACAATAAAAACTGATGGCAGATCCAGGTAACCAACTGACACACAATCCAGCAGGGGCCGCAACCAGCCTAGCCAGGCCTGGGAGAAGAGCCCAGTCTTTAAGGCTTTCCTGAATGCCATCAGGGTGGGAGCCACACGGATATCAGGGGGAACCTCATTCCAGAGGGCAGGCGCCATAACAGAGAAGGTGCCCTTCCAGGGACTCAGTAGGCGACATCATTTAACTGAAGGGACCTGGAGCGCACCAAGTCTGCCAGTCCGAACCAGCCAGGCTGGCCCTACAGGAGGTAGGTAGTAGGGGGTCCCTCAAGTAACCAGGCC